CAATGAGGTAAGGAGAAGGAGGCAGCATTTCCAAGACTTATCAGAGGTATAGGGAACAAATGCATAGAGGGAGTCCTGGTAAATAACCTTGGAAGGCAGATCACAGGCAGATTTGGGGAACTGTGTTTTGTAAGGAGCTGGGATGGTGGAGAAGGATATTAAATATATTAACTATTACTTCCCTCTTTTTTTTAAAAGATTTTATTTATTTATTTGACAGACAGAGATCACAGTAGGCAGAGAGAGAAGAGGAAGCAGGCTCCCCGCTGAGCAAAGAGCCCGATGTGGGGCTCGATCCCAGGACCCTGGGATCATGACCTGAACTAAAGGCAGATGCTTTAACCTACTGAGCCACCCAGGCGCCCCTACTTCCCTCTTCTTGTTCTTCTCTCCTCCTCTTCCTCTTTCTCCTCCTTGTCTTAATCTTTGCATCCGAATGTCCTTAGACTTTCAACCTTCTTAAATCATCTTTAGCTTTAATACTCATATATGCTCACTTCATCCTATAATTCAGGAAAGATCAAGTTATGCTGACAGTAATGAACAACCCCAAAATCTCAATGACTTAACATAATAAAGGTTTATGTTTTGTTCATGCTACTTAACATCAGGAACCGATCAGTGATCCAGGTGACGAAGCAGCGACCATCTCACATGCGGAGGGAAAGAGTTCTGGAGCAGCAATTAAATGTTTGGCTCTGAGATAACATATATAATTTCTGTTCACATCGTTTTGGCCCAGAAACAATTGCATGACCTCACCAAACCCCAGAAAGCCATACAGTACACGCTGCCAGAAGGTGGAGAGCCAGAAATACTTAGTGGGCATTACTAATGACTATCACACCATACACCTAAGGGAAATCCAATGTCAGGTCTCTTTCAGTGTCATATTTACATTCTAAAAGCTTTTTGATGCAAAATAATGAACTCTTTCACTTTTTCATATATTTCTCTTTGTTCTACATAGGCCCTATCCTGCTCACTGGCTCTGTAAAAGTCGGTAGCCTTTCACTTAAAGATTCTTAAATATTGGGGCGTCTGGGTGGCTCAGTGGGTTAAAGCCTCTGCCTTCAGCTCAGGTCATGATCCCAGGGTCCTGGGATCGAGCCCCGCATTGGGCTCTCTGCACAGCAGGGAGCCTGCTTCCTCCTCTCTGCCTGCTTCTCTGCCTGCTTGTGATCTCTGTCAAATAAATAAATAACGTCTTGAAAAAAAAAAAGATTCTTAAATATTTACTGAATGAATGAGTGGAATGCCACACATTTTATTTCTTTTCTTTTCTTTTTTTTTTTTTTTTGAGAAAGAGAGAGAGAGAGTATGTGTGTGAGTCAGGGAGGGAAGGGCAGAGGGAGAGGAAGAGAGAAAATCTTAAGCAGCCTCCACACCCAGCACGGGCCTAACACGGGGCTTGATCTCATAACCTTGAACCAAAATCAAGAGTCAGTTGCTTAGCCAAATGAGACATCCAGGCACCCCCATATTTTATTTCTTTAACCTTGTTCTATGCCATGCATCAGAGTTTCTCTCCAATTCTTTTAAATGAGGCTAAGGGGAATGACCTTAGTCCCCATTATTGCCCTTATTCCCATGCTAGACCATAGGGAGATCTTAGGGTGGGTAAGGCATTCCTGTAAGGTAATTTCACAGCCTTACTGGAAGTGTTCTTAAAGATGTCCTCCACTAACATATTTTGTAACTCACTGAGCTCCACCCTTTTCTCTCTCTCTGCTTTTTCTTTCTCTTTCCAAGATTACAAAACATAATCAATAAAATGATATAATTTTTAAAAAGATTTCATTTATGTATCTGAGAGAGAGAGGGAGGGCACCGAGGAAGAGGGCGAGGGAGAAGCAGGCTCCCCACTGAGCAGAGAACCCAACGTGGGGCTCGATCCCAGGACCCTGAGATCATGACCTGAGCCGAAGACAGATGTTTAACCAACTGAGCCACTCGGGCACCCCTAAAATGATATAATTAATGTTTTCGTTTTCACACTATGGCCAAAGAATCACATTTTCCTACGATGTCTTGCTAATCAAATCCAGTCTTTTTAAAGTAAAATCAGATATGTATGTGATCTCTTGGAATTTCTCTTCCCTCTTTTCCTTTTCTCCCCCAGTCCACATCCACCTGACATTTCTCCATACCTTCTTCCTATCAGCTGAGACTACGCTTATCCAAAAAAATTTAATATGCTCCTCTCATCCTCTGACAGATATCTGAAATTCTACTTTAAGGTCTTATTTTTTTAAGTTTGTATAATAGTGACATCACTACACCACTGTGTGGGCTTAGAAGATCTCAAGTTTGTTCAGCACAGTCTTGGCTCAAATCAGATCTGGAGTTCTCTCCATCATGTTTTTTTTTTTTTTTTTTAAGATTTTATTTATTTATTTGACAGAGAGAGAGAGATCACAAGTAGGCAGAGAGGCAGGCAGAGAGAGAGGAGGAAGCAGGCTCCCGGCCGAGCAGAGAGCCCGATGCGGGGCTCGATCGCAGGACCCTGAGATCATGACCTGAGCCGGAGGCAGAGGTTTAACCCACTGAGCCACCCAGGCGCCCCTCTCCATCATGTTTTTAGGTATCTAGTAGTTGCTTAGATGTATAGGTACTGGAACACTGTGAAAGAGGAGACACTTCTGAAAAAAAAAAAAAAAAAGAAAAGAAAAAGAAAAAGAAAGTGCTGCTGAGTTTTCTGCTAGTAACTGACAGGTGCAAAAGGAACCACAGCACACACTGGGATGGGCAGATCAAGAGATTGGGGGCAGGCAGGTCTGGCACAGCATTCATCTCAGAAGGTAGAGCCTGTGACTGGTAGTCTCCTGAGCCCTTGAAAGGAGCTTCTGAAGTGTATCTTCTCTCTGCTCCCCAGACACATCCTGGATAGTGTGCACTCGGAGTTGGGCAGGGGGTACCTACTTATCTTAGTCAACTTCCAAGGTAAGTTCCTAGACCATTCCTTTTGCTACTCTTCTCCCTCTTATCTTCCTCTTGATTCCCACCCATACGCCTTGCATCTTTTCCATATAAAAGACTCATCCTCCTCTTTTCTTCCACAATAGAAATGAACACCCCCCTCAAAACAAGAGACCACATCTATTAGGCACTGTTTTCTATTTGCTTGATGAAAGGGAGGACAGGGTTTCCAAACACTGTATAGAGATAAGGGGAAGTATTTGCACATTTGGGAGTTGGGAGAGAGGAAAAGAAGTCCTCTACCTGGAGTGGGTTAATCCATCAAAGCAATCATTAAATGTTCATGTTAAAACAAAGTGAATATTCATACCTTTTTTTTACCTTCCTAGACTTGGAGCTTCATCAAAATGCAAATAAACAAAGATGGTTATCTGTTATTAGTTATCTGACCTAAGTAAAGATTAATTTCCAACACTTTCCTGAGAGTAATTTTTGATAAATGAGAGTCAGAGGAAATTAGGTACTTCAAAGAAATGCAGAAGGCACAACCAGAGAAATGTGACCAGGCAAAGAATGGGGAAGCCATGATGGTTTTGCAGCAGCCTTGCTCAAGTTCGGTTATATTTACTTCCTAAACCACAAACTTAAAATACTCATATAATTCTACTTTCCAGGGCAATATCATGGTTTGCTCCTTCCAACTATCTATTCACCCTGTTTCTCTCTGACCACGTCTGTGTTCTACACAGTCACACCCACGTGATCTAGACTATGTCCTCTTTTGCACAAAACTAATGCTCTCTAACCCTGTCAGTGAGCTGGGATACAATTCCCTTATTTCTCTGTTGTTGTGGGGCCAAAATAGAGATTTCGAACCCTAATAATTTCATGCATACCTCAATGAGCATCCAGGGAATTTTGTACCCTCAGACTACATCCCCACAATTGCTCTTTCCAGGAGAGATGAGAACAAGCCTTCAGTGTCCAGTGTCAAGATGCCTTGGGGATTCTAGGCTAACTTCAGACGGGGTGAGTCCAGAAAGCTGGCATTTTCAAAGGATTCCAGTATCACTGGAGGGACTGAGAAAGCATGAGAGAAATGAATATGAGAGCAAATAGAAAGCAATTTGGCAGCGAGAGTAGAAAAACTAAAGAGCAAAGAATGGCATCTAAGAAAGAGAGGCAAAAGTTGCCCAAGATGGCTGTCAATCAACAGGAAATGCCACTGGCATCAGAGCAGGGGGGCTATCACTAAGACCCAGGGACCCTACACAAAAGGAGTGGAAAGCCTGGGCTATTTTAAGGCATGGTGACTTCACTACTAATAATGATTACCTTTAGTTTTGATCATCTTCAAAGTTAGAGTGGTTTGGAGAAACCTAGGGCCATATTCTTATCAACTCTGACTAGCTACCCGTCCATCTTTCTCCTCTAACTTCAAGAATTTGTGGTGCCCCAAAGCTGCTGGAATGTCCTAAAGCTCTGAAATGGAGCTCCTTTTCTGGAAGCTGATGTATTTACCTGCTGACCACAATAAACCAAGGACTGCAACAGATCCAACCCCAGGCCAAACACAGACAGAAGGCAAAGATATCCTACATCACCGGATACAGTTTAGAGTTCACCAAACTACGCACGCCTTTGTTTTAAATTTTCTATACAAGCTTGGCAATGTTTGGGGAAAATTACAGTAACATTACCAGCATCAAGTTCAAGATTAGTGTTTAAGCCTAAACCCCACGCTCCATAATTGATTTCCTGCAAATAAGACACACAGGATTTCTCTTAAAACCCCTACTGAAGTTTTTTATTTTTGTTTTAATCATTGCTGAATGTACACCAAGTTACACAAACTTCCTAATAGAGAAATGTCTGTGACAGACAGAATTAATAAACCACTTTCCGAGTAGATGAATTTTAAAATGTAGATGATGGTTCTATATCCTTAGTTTGGGTTGCCAATGCAAATGAGTCAGAGAATTTGCTTCAGACACTGAGTTAATTGTGTAACTCTACAGTGAAAAATGCCATTGGAGAATACTTGCTGACCTCACAGTCCAAAAAAACCATTTAAAAGATGTGGAAACCAGATGTTTCATCACATTTCAGCCTCTGCTCTGAGAACTTACCCTGAGCAGCCCTAACAGGCTATTACGTCTCTACAGCTGAGATATGATCATCTTAACTTACTTATTTGTCCTGCTGTGGGAAGAGGTTCATGGATGGGGATACAAGAACGGAATTTTTCATAACTCCATATGGCTTGGTAAGAAACTTCACTCATGAGTTGCTTCTTGGGGACGTTACTTCTTTGAATTGATGGAGAAGTGAATTGAAGCAGGAAAGTTTTTTGTTCTGTTTTAAGGCTGATGTTTTCAAAGAAAATGTTGAGGAAAAACAGCTATTGGAATGCATGTGCCTTTAAAAAAAAAACTGTTCTTGCCTTCTAAAATTAAAAAGAATAGTTTTTTTATAAAGCGAACTATTCAGTAGAAAATGGAAGTTAATATTTATATTCCATATGAGAAAATATATTTTCAAAGCAGATGCGATGGTATTTGGTAGGGAAGGTTTAGCAAAATAAAAACACCGTATTTTATTTCTATTTCGATGTGTTTGCATTCAGATTTTGTAGCAGGTAACTTTAACAGAAATGTAAAAGGTAAGTTGGAATATACAATGATTTTATAATCATTTGCCTGTGTACTCTGACCTGTAATGTATATCTTGCTTTTTCCAAACATCTTTTGACCAGTTTGATGCAAAGCCAGCTTATAATACAAAACAAATGAAAAAACTTTGTATTTCTGAGTGGAGTCTCACCACTTTGACTCCTTTTGTTTGAGAGCTATCCATATAAATACTTCTCTACCCCTTTTGTTAGAACAGGAAAGTTTCTTTTGCTGTTTTCTTTTGTTAAATGTAAAGAATGACATATGCTTAACCTGAATATAAACAATAGACCAAAAAAGACCAAATAAGGAAAACCCAAAATACCCTGTATAGTACTCTAAACAATGTTTTCTCGTGACACAAATTAATATTGCTTTATGTTCATGACTGTGTTTGATAGTGAAAAAATGTTTAATTACTCAAGAAGAAAACTGACAAATTCTTGTATGAAATAAAGAAATACAGAGAAAGCAAAATTAACCTAGATCTTTTTCTAATGCTTGGTAAGCAGCACATGGTTGTGGAATATTTTCCCTTTCAGCGTGTTTCTCTCTGGTAATAACTGCAGCCATGCGGATTTCATTAAAAAGCTCGATTTGCAATGCACAGCCTTGCCCCCTCTTTTTTCAGCTTGAGCCAGTGAACTAGTTTCATGCAGAACAGGGCAATCCATTTGGCCACAACTGCGTCTGGAACTTTCTTGAGGAGTGAACAAGGCTCTTTGTTTATTTTCCTTGCACATCAGCAACCTTAGAAAATATACACACTTTTGTTAGAAATGGAAAAAACTGCCATAAAGCTAGTAAGAGTCAAATCCATATACATAAACCTTGAAACGCTGTGAAACTCTTTAATGATCAAGCCATTTGGCACTGTTGCTGTTGTTTTTTTTTTTTAAGTGATGCTGTATATTACAAAAATGTGAACATAGACAATAGAAGTTCTGTCCTAGAGGTAGAGAGAAGCACACCCAAATGTTAATAGTATGCTGCAAATCTGAGGCTCGGGGTAATTGCACATTGCTTCAATCTGGGACAAATTATTGACCAGTCAGCCTAACACAAATTGTTTACAGTTGGTTAGGTCAATATGGTATTAAAAACTATTTAGAGAAGGAAGAGAGCCGGATAGGAAGGCAGGAATCTGTTAGCAGCTATCACGAACAAGGCGCTTCAAACTTGGTCTCAGTTCCACTAGTAGTAAAATGAGAAGGTCAAAGTATGGGACCTCTAAGTTTCATTTTTAACTCTGGTATCTTCCAGGTCCAGTTCCAGACCCCAATAGTAATTACTATTCCTCAAATAGTAATTTTTGTAATATAAAGATAAGACACATCAACTAATTTACATAGATGATAAAAATCAAAACTGCACAGATAAGCGATTGTTTTCAGCCATTGTATTGAATCTAAAAAAGAAGGACAAGTGACACTATCATGAGCTCCTACTAGGATCCAGAAGTTACGCTTGTGGGTTTTAATGATTTATTTATTCCCAGAATAGCCAACATTATTCCCGTCTGATAGAAGAAGACACTGAGGTGTAGGCAGTAATTTGTACAAGGTTACACAACTCATCCAGTGAAGAACCAGGAGGAGAGACTGGAGCCAACATGCTACTGTTGTCCCATGCTAACAGAAAAAAAAGTAGTGGTTAAATACTCAGTTTTAATGAATGACTAGGGACTCTAAAAATGAATAAATTATTATTCCTTCTGAAAGGTAAAACTTTTTAAATTAGGTACAAAGGACCATCTTCGTAATTTAAAATTCTGAATTGATCAATGCTTTCAAATAAATGTGTGCTTAAAACTGTCAAATAGGTACCAGAGTTCTCAACCACTCATAAGGCAAAATAATAGGAAGTTTGTCACTCTTTCAGGAAAAATGTAGAATATTAACATTATTTAATGAATTTAAAATGATAGCATAGACTTTTCTATCATTTAAGTTACCAACCATCTCATTACTAGACGAGTTCTAGTTACCAAAAATTTAAGAAAAATTACTGGGAGGAAAACTTAAAATTATTTTTCAAAAACTGCTCTGTTAATTAATTTTTTCCCTATGAATGTCATATTTTGATTAGGGAGTGAAAGACAAGGAAATCTTAGTTTGAGAAACATTTGCACACATTAAAATAATTCCTACTAATAAAGATCTTGTAGTCTGTATTGTCAGGGAATAGGTACAATTTTAAACATTTTTGGTAATCTCTAATATGATCCATAAGTAAATTCAACATGTCTCCCTTCTCTACTAAAAGCCTTAGTACTCTTATACTGCAAAATAAAAGTACTTCCATTGCCCACTAGTGTCCGAGTTGCCCTGAGAAGTGGACTTGACCCACAGCACTTAGCAAACCTCATGGTATGTTCTCAAAATAACCAAATTGGAAACCAGCGGAACTTTAGTTAATGAGGTTTTACCAATATGAAGGACACTTGGGCAGTAGGCGACTTTCAAACAGGAAGATAACGTTGATGTTCCTTGTGTTCCCTGACCTATGAGCATCAGATTGACTAAGGTCTTCAGCGCTTAAGTGATGGGATGTTACCATATAACGTATAAGAACAGATCCCTTGCAGTCCAGAGAAACAGGGCAGGTGACAAGCAGCATCTCCTATTCAACTGTGGGGGTGTCAGCTTTAGCCTGGGGAGGAGAGGGAGCACTACTACTGGATTCACGCCTTGCTGAATGCCAAGGAATATGTGGTCTCATTGGAAATGATCTTAATGGTAGCTGATTGTACAGGTTAGGGTACAAAGACTTGACCATAATCTGAAGGTCTACACAGAACAATGAGAGCTAATGTTATGATTATTGTCCTAGAAAAATTGTCACATTGTTTCTATGGCAAAATGCACTCCAAACTCAAAACAATTTAAACAGTGATCTACTGGAAGACAATTCGCTTATGACTTACTCCCTAAAATATGCTGGGAACAACATGCTGGTAGTTTGGTGTACCCAATTTTTTCTCTGCTGTGTTTGAATCTCCCCCCCCCTTAACGCAGTCTTTATTTTCTTTGGATTCTTTAAACCTTTCCTCAGTTTTTGATTTGTTTACTAAATTCTCAATCACACTGCATTAGTCATTTCCCTCAAATGGATATTTTGGATTATTTTTCTCCATCATTGTGAGCCTACATAATGGATCAATTTTCATTGGTTTCTTTTGCCTTTACTTTCATTCCCTCCCCCCATTGTTTATCTTTCCAAGTTTTTACTTGATTTAAAAGAAAGCCAAAAAAAGTCAAAACTTTGTCACTTTTTGATAGTGTGGAAATACTATCCTTACAGGTTACATAGTTGCCTTACAGGTTTCTTTCAGGCCATCAGTTCAGGACACATAATTTAGCCTCAAGTTTCTCCTATGTCCCCTAAAATTCCCCTCATTCATATTTTTTTTCAAAGCTTTCTAACAATGAAAACTTAGCCACCCTAGGTCACTGACCCGGGAAACTCTTTGGCAGGAACAATAGCTGATGCAATCTTCTAGATGACGCCACAAAATTTCCCTTGTTCCACAAGAATGGATCACAGCATACTTACAACATTGTGTGAATTCACAGAACAAGCAGCAGGTGTGTACCACAGAGAAGCGCGCGCTGGCAAGTACAAGCTCACCTACGCAGAAGCCAAGGCAGTGTGCGAATATGAAGGCGGCCGACTCGCCACCTACAAGCAAGTAGAGGCAGCCAGAAAAATTGGTAACTAATTTGACGATGATTTTTCTTCTTTTTCACCTTTGGGGGAAAAAAAAAAACCCTCCACCTTTTCTATATCCCCTTCATAAGATTTCTCTCTCAGTCCTTCCAATGCTTCTCTAAGCCCCTATGATATGTCTACTCTCTGGCTTCTCCATCTTCTCTGCCTAGAGCCAGTGGAAAGGTCTTAGTGCTAGCAACTTATTTGGGGTCACAACCCACTGTGAGCTACTATAATAGAAGTAAAAAAACAAAGACATTGCTGTCTCAACATCATTTCAATTCCTCATTAATTTTAATGCCACTTCTATTCATTTTTCATACTGTTCTATCTTTTCTTAACTTCTGAGTATGGGTTTCCTCAGCTGTTAAATGTTATTATGTTGAGTTTTATAAAGAAATTTTCTTTGTAGAAGAAATACTGAATTTAGTGGCTTTTTTTTTTTCAAAATATGTTTTTTTAAAGATTTATTTATTTATTTGAGAGAGAGAGAGAATGTGCACATGCTCGAGTGCCCCTGTGCAGGGGAGGTGAGGGAAGGGCAGAAGAAGGAGAGGGAGAGAGAGGGAGAGAGAGTATTCCAAGAAGGCTCCACTCTGAGCACAGAGACCCAGGCAGGTCACCATCTCATAACCCTGAGATCACAACCCCAACTGAAACCAAGAGTCAGACACTTAACCAACGGTGCCACCCAGGTACCCCTGTTTCTCAATTTCTTTAAGTTAAGTGGGAGAATGCATTTGTACTTTAGGATCAAAAGGAAGATAAGCAGCTTGTAAGATGGTAGGAAAAAGAAACTGAGGTCATGTCAGGAGACCTGGTGCAAACAAAGTGATTGACTAGTGCTAGTGCCTTCTTTTTTTTTTTTTTTTTTTAAGATTTTATTTATTTGACAGACAGAGATCACAAGTAGGCAGAGAGGCAGGCAGAGAGAGGAGGAAGCAGGCTCCCTGCTGAGCAAACAGCCCGATGCAGGTCTCGATCCCAGGACCCTGAGATCATGACCTGAGCTGAAGGCAGAGGCTTTAACCACTGAGCCACCCAGGCACCCGTGCTAGTGCCTTCTTAAAAAAAAAAAAAAAAGCACCACGACCATCTCTCATGGTGGTTTTACAGGAGAATCCAAAAGCCACCCCCATTCAGAACTCTCTTCTCCATTGAAGAAACCCCTTTGTTGATTAAAAAAAAAAAAAAAAAGACAATAGCAAAGCTTATGTTACTATTAAATATTACTCAGGATAAAAATAAAACTGTTCTCTAAAAATCCCTAAAGTCTGCCCAGCACATTGCTCAGTCTAGACCCACAGAGCTGTGCATGACGCAGTACGTGGAACCATGGGTACAAAGACCAGGGCCATTACTGGCTGTCCTGGACCTTCAGTAAAACCGCTCTTGGACGGCAATGTCAAATACTTAGACAGGCTCTGAAGCTGGGCAAGGAACACAGGGCTGAGGCTTTGTTCAAAATTTATGAATATGTTTATCCCTATTCAAATTTCTTAAAATATTAGCAAATTTTAATTGATCCTGAAATAGAAACTACTTAAATTATCATTTGAAAAAAAATTGTTTTCCAGGATCAATGGTAATTTCAGAAATTATTTCATGGCACTCAATAGGTCATTTGTGAAAAGAAGCCAGCTGTGAACTTGGATTTTTCATATTCATGGTATTATGATTTCCAGTCCAACTTCCTCTTTTTTTTTCAAGTAGGACGGCATTTTCTAGTAAAAATCGGATGTTACATTTTATATGTACTCAAACTTTATTTTTTAAGAATAGCATTTTTCAAAAAAATGAAAAGAAGAGAAAAGAAAATAGTTTCTCTCCTTGTACTTACCAGGCTTTGGGCAGTTGAGAAGGGGCTACTTTTGTTAAGATGACCTTCACTCAGCTGAGGGGGTTTACCAGTTAGCCCATAATCCTTTCCTTCTCTTGCAGGATTCCATGTCTGTGCTGCTGGGTGGATGGCCAAGGGCAGAGTGGGATACCCCATTGTGAAACCAGGGGCCAACTGTGGATTTGGAAAAACTGGGATTATTGATTACGGAGTCCGTCTTAATAGGAGTGAAAGATGGGATGCCTATTGCTACAACCCACAAGGTTTGTTACAAATAATAATTTTATACTTTGCCAAAACAGTTACATGTTACTAAGAGGTTACTAAATATAAATGGCTCCTTCTCCCAGAGATAAATCAACTTGGTGATGATAATTCTTAATAACAACAACCATTCACGGAACCGTTACGCTGGGCCAGACCCTGCCTGCTGCTCCTCTTCCACGCTGTCCATATTCATGATGACTCTGCAAGAAGCTCTTGTTATACCCATTTTAGAAATCAGGACATTGAAAGTTGAAGAGCTTAATAACTTACCAAAATCAAACATCCAATAGTCAGCAGGCAGGCAGGGTCTCAGATTCAGATCTTTTCTATGCCACATCTTTTTCTATTCCCGACCACAAAGGCAAAAAAAAAAAAAAAAAAAAAAAAGTGGGTTATAAACTTGTCACAGTTAATTAGCTAAAACAACAAAGTGATACTACCAAATGTTAACTGTTCAAAATTTCCCCTTTGATAGAATGGGGGAAGAAAGAGACAAAAGAAACTCTTCCCCTGATATTCTTGTGCATAAATTCTTAAACTTCCAAACTGAGCAACTCTCACTCTATGGTTTGTTTTCACAATTACATGCTGGATATTCTAGTTAGTTATTTTTATATAGTATATTTTTATTCGTATTTTCCCATGGTTGATTGTAGCTAGGAAAACTTTAAAGAGAAAATTAATTCAACATAACTACTATAAAGAGCTATTTTTTGTTCATGTTTTTAGAGAAAAAATAGATTGTTCTTTTTTGGATGGATTTCCCCCAGCATGATACTACGAAGAATTATAATATGTTCCAAGTCTGCCTAATGTTTATGATCACAAGCATCCTCAGGTGTTCTGTTTCAATCTGCCTTATAAGAAAGTCCCTATAGTGAAGATACAGTGAGTTATAGTGAAGTTCTAGCATGTTACTATAGAATTTATTATTCAATGATATTAATCATTGGAGAATAGTTTCTCATGTTTGTAACTAAGCTTTATCTCAAAATAATGTGTATTCTACATAGAAAAGAATTTTGCCTAGAGCCATCATGTATTCCCACTTAAGACAAAAATATGAATAAATATGTGTAGTGCATTTATATAGGGCTATAATTTTCAAATCATTTTCACATACTTAAACCTTATGTTATATTTAATTCTATATTTAGTTATTGTTAATAGTTTGTATATCTTCTTTCCTCCCTCTTCCTCTCTTCCTTTTTCATCAGTATATTTACACAAGCAACTTTCTTTTGACTCTAAAGAGACACTTCTATTTCCAAGTATGTTCTCTGATTCTTCCTTTGCTTGATAAGGTTTAGGATCTCTGAGCATCTATTCAATCATTTCCATAGGGGAAATTTATCTCTAGGGGAGATAAAGAAGTGCTAATAGAGAGTTCTTACAGTATTTCCTTGCCTTTTTATAAGGATGCCACCTTAACTTAAAAATTTTTATAAATTGCTTTTGTCTCTCATCAAGGCAGAATCCTTTTTACTCTGGGAATACTTGTACAGAATCTTGGGAGACTTCTTCTTACTCTGTTCTCAGCTTACTTTTGGATTCAGTGACATGCTGATTTTTTAGGATGTGGTGAACCTGAAGGGGACTGGGGACCACCTGAACTAGTACTGGCGGAGGAACAGTTCAATGAAAAATAATTGTAATGAAGAAATCATAATGGTATCATAAAAATAAACCAATGACTATCCATTGCTCAATAAAATATAGAGCTGAATGGCTAAATAGACAATCAAATTGTTCAATATTTGAACTGTTTCCTAATCTAATGGTATAGACAACAAAGATAGGATGGCATAGGACAGAGCAAATCACTCCAAAAACTGGCATTGCACATGTTATGTACACATACAAACTGTCACGTAATATTGAATAAGACAATAAGAACAGCTTACATTTTACATAACACCCTGAAGTTATCTTCCATGTTACTATCCTTAGAATAATGTTGTGAAGTAGGTAATAGGAGAGGCATGGTTATATTTACTTTACCAGGGAAGAAAATGAAGTATTGACTGGTACAGAGATCAGACTAGATTCCTTGACCTTCTTTTGTCACTTTCCCTAAGATCCTGTTTGGCCCTGGGGGAGATAAGCTTCCTTACCTTCTATGATATTAAGAATTCTAACACTTTTTTTTTTTAAAGGATCTTTTCCAAAGGATAATATTCTTGGAAAAAGCCTCTGATTGATACAATGAAAAATGTCTTGGAATGCTACCCACAGTCACCACCACCACCATTCACATTATTTTTGAGTTTCCAGATGGTAGATGCTTATTTGATCCGAAATCAAAATTAACCAGAGGTTTTCCATACCTTTCGTTCCAGGTCACCCAGTAAAATCATGGGTTCTGGCAGAGGTTGTTTGATTGTTCTCATTCCAGGTTATAAGGCATGGCAGAAATCTGTAAAATAATAAATGACTTGAAAAAACAAACGTGAATATCTTTGTCAAATCCTCAAATATTAGGATTAAGGTGTTAGTTTAAAGCCAGTGAAAGGAGTATAAAATGATAATAAATTATTCCTTTTAACTGGATTAGAGTGACCTTCAAGGTCTCTTGTGACTCTGAAATTCTATAATGATTTTCCAAACAGAATTTATTGGACTCATTATTCTTTTTTTTTTTTTTTTAAGATTTTATTTATTTATTTGACAGACAGAGATCACAAGTAGGCAGAGAAGCAGGCAGAGAGAGAGGAGGAAGCAGGCTCCCCACTGAGCAGAGAGCCCGATGCAGGGCTCAATCCCAGGACCCTGGGATCACGACCTGAGCCGAAAGCAGAGGCCTTAAGCACTGAGCCACCCAGGCGCCCCTGGACTCATTATTCTAAAAAGTCCCTGAAAACACAGTGTTGATACCACAGGACAAAATCGCAGCCATCTTGATTGGGCTGTTGGTAACAGCGTATACATATTCATCAAAATACATGAACATATACATCTGAGACTTGTACATTCTTTAAAAAAAAAAAAAATTTTATTTTTAAGTAATCTCTACAGCCAATATGGGGCTTGAACCCACAACCCCAAGATCAAGAGTTGCACGCTCCCCGAGCCAGCCAGGTGCCCTGAGGCTTGTGCATTCTAAGCTGAAAAGATAAAATACAAAAAAAGTACAAGAGCACAATTAATTAAATTGCTATTTTTTCTTGTCATTTTTCTTTTCATTTCATACAAATTCAGTGTATATTCATTTGAAAGAATTTACCAATGAATAATGAAAATATTCATTTATTCTTTAGCTGTAAGTATATATATTTAATATTTTATTAAAAGTAATAAATAGGCACTAGGAAGTGCATATCATTTTAAAATACGGATAATATTTTTTCTAATGGTTTCTTTCCTTTTTTGTTTCTTTTGTTTGTTTGTTTGTTTTATCCATTTTAGCAAAGGAGTGTGGTGGTGTCTTTACAGATCCAAAGCGAATTTTTAAATCTCCAGGCTTCCCAAATGAGTACGATGATAACCAGATCTGTTACTGGCACATTAGACTCAAGTATGGTCAGCGTATTCACCTGAGCTTTTTGGACTTTGACCTTGAAGATGACCCAGCTTGCTTGGCTGACTATGTTGAAATATATGACAGTTACGATGATGTCCATGGTTTTGTGGGAAGGTACGTGTTTCCCCATATAAAGAGTTAAAAATACCTTCAATATCTTGTTTGATGTTTCTTTAATTTTCTTCAGTGTTCCCCACAGTTATTGATTCTCTAGTATTTTTACTCCCTGGCAACACCATATCCTTTTTTAACAAAGATTTTTCTTTTTCTTTTTTTTTTTCTTTAAAGATTTTATTTATTTGACAGAGAGAGATCACAAGTAGAGAGAGAGAGAGAGAGAGAGAGGAGGAAGCAGGCTCCCTGCCTAGCAGAGAGCCCAATGTGGGACTCCATCTGAGGACCCTGAGATCATGACCTGAGCTAAAGGCAGAGGCTTAACCCACTGAGCCACCCAGGCAAACCCAAAGACTTTTCTTAGTATGTGAAGCCAGTCACCTGCTACATGTTCTTATAATTAAAATAGTGACAGCTGCCTTTTGATTACTATTAAGTTGTAAGAATTAAATAGTCTATTTAAAAAGACTTGAGGGCTGGGGGCGCCTGGGTGGCTCAGTGGGTTAAAGCCTCTGCCTGTGGCTTGGGTCATGATCTGAGGATCCTGGGATCGAGCCCCGCATCGGGCTCTCTGCTCAGCAGGGAGCCTGCTTCCTCCTCTCTCTCTCTGCCTGCCTCTCTGCCTACTTGTGATCTCTCTGTGTCAAATAAATAAATAAAATCTTTAAAAAAATAATAATAAAAAAAAGACTTCAGGGTGCCTGGTTGGCTCAGTCAGAAGAGTGTGTGACTCTTGATCTTGGGGTCGTAAGTTCAAGCCCCATGTGGGGTATAGAAATTACTTAAATAAATAAAACTTTTCAAACAAATAAAAAAAAATAAAAAGACCTCAGTATTTCATTAACAATGGGAAGAAGAGGACACATGTGAATTGAGAAATTTGTTGGAGGGTTTTAAGTATTCTAATTTCTATCAACCTCCTAAAAATAATTATAAATTCTTAATTATTATCTTCCTTCTGTGTACAAAGTATTGTGCTAAGCATTATGAATATAAGAATTAAGCAAAGTATAGGAGTGCCTGGATGGCTCAGTGGGTTAAAGCCTCTGTTTTCGGCTCAGGTCATGATCCCGGGGTCCGAGATCAAGCCCCACATCAGGCTCTCTGCTCAGCAGGGAGCCTGCTTCCCCCTCTCTCTCTGCCTGCCTCTCTGCCTACTTATGATCTCTCTCTGTCAAATAAATAAATAAAATCTTAAAAAAAAAAAAAGGAAGTAAAGAATTAAGCAAAGTATAGCCCCTTCTCTCACAAAATTTACCTAAACGTGCAGTGGAAATCTTCTTTGAAATAGCTTTCTTTGACATAAAAAACAAGTGCTCCTTTCCTCAATATTTCTCCCTTGGGTTTTCAACATCCTGGGACAAAACATTCTGTGTTGTCATTCTGAATCTTCAATATAGTTTAACCTTTGAATGTCTCACAAAATATTACAAATCAAAGCGTATATAATTATGTGTTTTATTTATTTAGCCCCCCACTTAATAACGTGTATCTGAGACTATCCAGTATCAACAGACTATCAGTTATCAATTTTCCATTATCCATGACAGTAATTTAATAAAAGAAAATGGTAATGATTAAAATTATTAAAATAATTAAAAATGACAGACTCAGTAGTTTGTTGTGACTTTGAAATGTGTAACTTAAACACCAAGAAAAAGAAACACATTTCTTGCATACACGAGTAACAACTTTTGGAGGGAAATTGGTTTGGTTTTGTTTTATTCTGCTTTTTAGCTGACAGACTACTGCTATAGATGAAGCAGGGTTGGAGAAATTAAGAGCAAAACATTTGTTGAAAGAACGGACATCCTACCTTGAAAGTCAAGATGATATTTTCATTCTAAACCTAGTTTCACAAATCAATTACAGCCCTAGATAAAATCATATACTGTTTTTTTTAAAAGGTTTTCCATAGACTAATTTGTCACTTATCGGATTTTTATGATAAATTCTTCCCTTTAATGTAATGTACAAAGAAGCTCCTTTCAAGTCAATTCAGATAAAAACCAGTCCCTCTTGTAAGGTCCAACATAATTTTCCACATTCAAATCAGTCTACTCTAGAATTCAAATTAGTAATACTATCAGCCATACACATATTCCTCTTTAACCATGAAGAAACTTCATAGGATCAATCAGAATCAAATTTAAAATTTTTCCAGAGAGATTAAAATTGTCTACTACACAAATAATTTTGCAAGTACACACAGTAGAAATGCTATATGTCCTTTTTTAAGAATCTCGTTTATATTCTCAGGTTATTTGAAACAACAAACTTTGTTTTAATCCTTCTTCTCCCTTACAAATTCAAGTTAAAAAAAATAAAAAGTTTTAAATAATAGGAAAACGAGACATTACTTAGGAAAAATAAAGAACTTTAATTACAGGTCAGAGCCACTTAATAGCCGTGTAATATTCTTCTGTGTGACTTCTTTTTTTTTTAAATTTCCTTTCAGATACTGTGGAGATGAACTTCCAGAAGACATCGTTAGCACAGGTAATGGCTCTAAATTGAGACGTAGGACTATGATTTGTTTTTCCATATTGTCACTGAAAGTGAAGAACCCAGTAGTCATTACTATTAACTTTTTAAAGTCAAGAGAACCATTGGGTCAGATGTAGCTTACCAGTTTGCAAAATGTAGTGTTTATACTTAGGACTTAACGCCAACCCCTTACACCAAAAATGCGTAGACTCATAAGGTGAAGGAATGCAGTCTGAGATGGTCTTGAGTCTGTAAATCCCTGAATTTTGCTATGGGTTATGACATCCATAAAATGTGGAAATAAAAGACCAAAGTTTTTTATCAATAAAGGATTGAGAGGTATTTTCAAAAGTATTAAAGTTGTTAAAAATATCTTCGGTCACTGAAAAAATGTTACATCACACTTAACTGCATTTTTATCTTTGGACAGCATTCCCCACAGTGTTGTGAAGAGCAGCTCTATGAAACATTTTTAATAGGTGTTGCATGAGAAAAGAACATTAAGGCCAAGGGAACTGGGGAAACATGGGTTTAAACTATGTTAAACAGGTCTCTTTATTGGAAGATGTCAGAGAGCTTTTAATATGCTAATTATGCATAGTAAATCTCAAAAGGCTAGCTATGGTTGGCAAAGTGTTCCAAATCTTTTTAACTCCTACCAATTACTTTTGTGATTTTGTCCCATGCAATGTACCTCAAGCAATGAGCTTGTAGTCATATATATTTATATCCAGAAGAAATGCCACTGCCATTGCCCCATACTGCTATTTTCTGGCTAAGAACCTTCACTTTCTTAGGTGTTTTTGTTGTTTTCTTTTTATTTCCATCCTTAGCACTAGTAGTTGGCATTCTGACTTGCTCTTTTTTTCCTCCAAGTCATAAAGTTATCACAGTGTTTCTGCAACTAAAAACAACAAAATAACACAGAATTGTAATTTCTAAGTAGTCCTTAAGCTCAGATACTACTAGCTAAATTACTCCCACACCCTAGCCTGAAGGCACGAAATTCTCATTAAATTCTCATTTATGCATCAATATTAAAAGAAATAAAACTTCTTATTCAATCCTTGAATGATTAATGCTTAAAAATTATTCATTCATTCTCTGTTATAATCTCCCTGGTAAGGGCAGCCCATTAAACTGTTTATCTCATTCTCTTCTTGAGAACGTATTTTACGTTAACAGAAAGTTAAAAGTAGATAGGAGCCATCCGTAGGAGTTAGTTGGGGGATAAGAATCCAATTTTTAAAAAAAGAAAGAAAGAAACAGAGAATCAAAGCCTGAAACTTCACATTTTTTTCTTGTTTTGTCTAAAACAGAAAAAACTTAACTGCTAGCATAATCAAAACAGTGTTGTTTTTTTAACACTACTGCAAGAAAAAAAAACCCACACCGTTTATTATTCAAAGAGAAACAAATCAACACACAGAAGAGAACACAATTAAACAAACAGCCAAAGATTTAGCAAAAAAGTAAGAGGAGGAAATTGATATCAAGAAATAGAAAAAGATTTAAAATACATTTGAAGTATAATCTTACCAGTCAAGTTTAATGCTGTTAACATTTTGGTCTAGTTTTCGTCTTAAATATGTGCTTACTCACCCCAGGATATTTGTATTAAAAAACAAGACCAGAAAATGAATGAACTAAAAACTACCCAGAAACTATACCACTTTAATAAATGGTATATAAAGTAAGAATATAACCACCCCATCTCTGCCCACCCAAGAAAGGCACTGGATGATTGTGTAGTGATTATCCTTCCAGGTGTTTCCCTGTATTTTATAAACATGGTATACACAGATATCATGGACATATTTCCAAGTCAGCATACAGTATGTAGATCATTTAAATTCGTTTTTTTTTTTTTAAGATTTCATTTATTTAGGGGCGCCTGGGTGGCTCAGTGGGTTAAGCCTCTGCCTTCAGCTCAGGTCATGATCCCAAGGTTCTGGGGTCGAGCCCCGCATTGGGCTCTCTGCTCAGCAGGGAGCCTGCCTCCACCTCTTTCTCTGCCTGCCTCTCTGCCTACTTGTGATCTCTGTCTGTCAAATAAATAAATAAAATCTTTAAAAAAAAAAGATTTCATTTATTTATTTGACAGAGAGAGAGAGAGAGAGAGAGAGAGAGATAACAAGTAGGCAGAGAGGCAGGCAGAAAGAAAGGAGGAAGCAGGCTTCCTGCTGAGCAGAGAGCCCTATGCGGGCCCAATCCCAGGACCCCGAGACCATGACCCGAGCCAAAGGCAGAGGCTCAACCCACTGAGCCACCCAGGCGCCCCTCAAATTCGTTTTAACGACTGCCTACTAGGTCCCTATATGGATGTACCATAATTTATCATGTACGAATATTTAACATCCTAAAGATGATTGTTTCTGATTTTCTTTTCTTGTACTATTCAACATTTCACTGGAGATTTTTTATTTTTTAAGATTTTATTTATTTATTTGACAGAGAGAGATACAGCCAGAGAGGGAACACAAGCAGGGGAGGGAGAGAGGGAGAAGCAGGATCCCTGCCAAGCAGGGAGCTCCATGCGGGGCTCCATCCCAGGACCCAGGATCATGACCTGAGCCGAAGGCAGTCGCTTAACCGACTGGCCCACCCACGTGTCCCTGGTTCATGAATTTTTATATTCTCCTCTAAGAATGATGAGTCTCTGGACTGCCAGCCAAATCAAAGCAGAGTAACATCTTTGTTCTTTTGCACTCCTCCTCCTCCCCAGGAAATGTCATGACCTTGAAGTTTCTCAGTGATGCTTCAGTGACTGCGGGAGGTTTCCAAATCAAGTACGTTGCAGTGGATCCGCTATCCAAATCCAGTCAAGGAAGAAACACAAGTACTACTTCTACCGGAAATAAAAACTTCTTAGCTGGAAGATTTAGCCATTTATAAAACAACAAAAAAGGACACTCACTGTTTACATTTGTATCTTTTGGAACCCCTCTGATCTTACTTTTATATTATTATTAATAGCATTTATTTATTTTCTAAATGTGAAAAGCAATCCCTGATAATTTTGGGAAAATTGGAAAATATAGAAAACTTTAAATGAGAAAATAAAATCTCTCATAATCCCACTGCATAAAAATAACAAACATTAACATTTATATATTTTTCTTTTAGTTATTTTTCAATTTGTGGTATATGTATATATGTATCTATATGTATTTGTACTTGAAATTTTGGAATCCGGCTCCATGTACAGTTTTATATCTGAGTTTTTTTAACTTTGAATTTTATGGCTTAAGCATTTTCTGGATCATTAAGTATTCTGCAAAAACATAATTTTGAACAGCTGTAAAATATTCCATGGTATAATTCTTCCATACTTTATTTAAGCCTGTCTCTACTGTGGGAATTTAAAGTTGCTTTCAAAAATATTGCTGCAATAAATGTCCTTGAACATACATATTTGTACAGCTCTCTAATTATTTGGGATAGGGTCCTTGAAGTAGAATTACTGGCTCAGATATTAATTAAAATAGAATTTTCTTAGGGCCCCTGGCTGGCACAGTCAGAAGAACACGCAACTCTTCATCTTGGCGTCATGAGTTCAAGCACCACGTTGGGGGGGAGGGGCGGAGTTTACTTTAAAAAATAATAAAATAGGGGCGCCTGGGTGGCTCAGTGGGTTAAAGCCTCTGCCTTTGGCTCAGGTCATGATCTCAGGGTCCTGGGATCAAGCCCTGAATCGGGCTCTCTGCTCAGCAGGATGCCTGCTTCCCCCTCTCTCTCTGCCTGCTTCTCTGCCTACGTGTGATCTCTGTCTGTCAAATAAATAAATAAAATCTTTAAAAAATAATAATAATAAAGTAAATGTACAGCTTTTAATAAATAAAATTTTCTCTTTTATGGGCAAAAGCAACATCTCATTATGGTTTGAATTTCTAGTGAGATTGATGGTCGGTTTATATATTTTTGATCAGTTTTATTTCTTTTGTGAATTATTTTTTCATGTCTTTCACCCATTTTTTAATTACATAATCTTTTATTGACTTATAAGAAGTCAGTATATATCAGATATATAATTTCATGTCTGTCATATATATGTTACAATTTCATGTGAAGTTTGATTTTTATGATTTTTATTAAAAGCTAAATTTTATTTACAGTCATACCTACTGATCTTGCTTCAGTCCCCTGTATTTACATTTAGAATGAATAGTCCCATGACAACTTAATATGTTTATTCATTAACTTTTTTTTCCTTATTGTTTTATGGCTTTGCTTTCATAGAAGGAAGAAGTCATAGTTGCTACCTTTTAAATGAGGGGTAATGGTTACTATCCAATTAAATTTTTAAAAAAATGTTTGTGCCTGGCACTGTTCTGGACACTTAGAAAACACTCAAGAACCAAATGAACAAAAATCCCCAGGCTTGGGGAGTTTATGTTCTGGGGCAAGGAGAGAAACAATAATAAAACATGATAAATTAGTACACTATGTGTTAGAAATAGAGACTTCCTTATTAAATTACTAATGGAGGGGCACCTGGGTGGCTCAGTGGGTTGGAGCCTCTGCCTTCCGCTCAAGTCATGATACCAGAGTGCTGGGATCAAGCCCCGAATCGGGCTCTCTGCTCGGTGGGGAGCCTGCTTCCCTCTCTCTCTCTCTCTCTCTCTCTGCCTGCCTCTCTGCCTACTTGTGATCTGTCTGTCAAATAAATAAATAAATAAATAAATAAATAAATAAATAAAATTGCTAATGGAATGAGTATAGATTAAAAAAAAAAAAAAGGCTAAGAACTGAGACCTGGAAGAGGAAGATTAGCAGAGAAGACTGAGAAGGAGCAAAGGATAAATTAGAAGGAATATCCCTTGGGGTCCTAGAAGCCTAATGGAAAACCTATCAAGGAGGAGAAAGTGATCAACTGTTAAATGCTGCCAGCAGATCTACAAAGATGAGTGCTAAGAAAAACCACTGGCTTCAGCAACAGGAAGATTGTTGGTGACCTTAAGGAGCAGTCTTTGGGGGGTGGAGGCTAAGGCCCACCAGAGTGTTCCTGTAGAGTGAAGTAGAGGAGATCACGGGAGACAGTGAGTCTGGCAATCAAGGAAATGGAGCCATCAGGAAAACTGGGTTGAAAGAAGACTTTCTTGATGGGAATGAACTTAGAGAAATGAGAGATGCTGGGGCCATTTTCTGGACAGTAGTCAGGGTCCTGGCAGGAAGGAGATGACACAGTCAAAAGAGGGAAACTGAAGAGATTATCACAGAGATGTGAGCTGACTTTATAGAAAGCCCTCAAAGAATGGTGAATCATTAAATGCTCATCACAGAAGGAGGATACCCTGGAAGAGAAAAATCAGGGCAGTTATATATGAATCCAGAATGTGAACTTCCTTGATAGAAAAGGGTTGCCCAACAGAAGCTGGAATACGGTTCTGCCAACCCAAGTCTCTGGGAAGGGATCACAGGTAAATACCCCAGTTTCTCCCTCCTCCTATACTTTAATGTCCTGCTGGTGCTTCCTACTACCTGAACCCAAAGAGAAATCAGAATATGAGGAAACCTGGCTAGTGCTGTTCACAGAGATCAGCTCTGTGGTCCAAAGCAGGAAGTCAGAGCATAGATCTAGAGGGGTAAAAGGAGGACGTCTGTCATCTTGGGTCAAAGGACAGTGGTTCTAGTGCACAAATGGAGGGACTGGCTTTAGATAGCAGCATGGGTGGTCCTTCCCATAGTCCCTCTTATGCCATGTATCCTTTAACAGTTGAAACCTATGACTACTTCTCATGTTATGTTTTATTTATTTTATATTTAATTTAATTTAATTTTTAATTTTTTTTAATTTTATGTGTGCTGCATTCCCAATGTGAGGCTTGAGCACATAACCCTGAGATCAAGAGTCGCATGCTCTACCAACTGAGCCAGCCAGGCATCCCCTCAGTATTGTTTTCAAATTCATAAAATACAAAGGAGTACAAAGAAAATCAATTATTTTGAAACACCATTATAAAATCATCTTTCAAATCAAATCTGTGGGTGCCTGGGTGGCTCAGTGGGTTAAAGCCTCTGCCTTCAGCTCAGGTCATGATCCCAGGGTCCTGGGATGGAGCCTGGAATCGGGCTCTCTGCTCAGCAGGGAGCCTGCTTCATCCTGTTTCTCTGCCAGCCTCTCTGCCTACTTGTGATCTCTGTCTGTCAAATAAATAAATAAAATCTTTAAAAAAATCAAATAAAATAAAATCTGTGATATTTTAATGCATGTGTTTCTACATTAATGCTATAAATAATATCTAGTAGTGTACTTAATAAACACCATAATTATCTTTTCTTTTATTTTTAAAAGATTTTATTTATTTATTTGACAGAGAGAGAGACAGCAAGAGAGGGAACACAAGCAGGAGCAGAGGAAGAGGGAGAAGCAGGCTTCCTGCTGAGCAGGGAGCCCAACACAGGGCTTGATCCCAGGACCCTGGGATCATGACCTGAGTGGAAGGCAGATGCTTAACGACTGGCCACCTAGGTGCCCCATAACTACCATAATTTTAAAATAGTGATACATATGTGTACAATATTCTGAAGTAAATACAAAAACTGTCTCATGACAAAAGCATAGGCCCTGCTACTGTGGTTTACTACCTACATTCACAGTTGAAGAAAATGACTAGACTTCAATTAAGAGTTATTAGAAATAAAGATTGATTTCTACATGCAAGATCATGATGTCCTGGATTAACTTCAAAGATCCATTAGGAAGAAGGTACAGTGTGAGGACAGAAGCTTACCTGCAGAGAGATATGTGGGAATCTGCAGGGCTCTCTTCTGCTTGTCTTGAATTTCTCAGTAAACAGTTAAGTCATGAGCCAAGAATGAGTATGGAGAGGGGCACTTGGGTGGTTCACACGTTAAGCATCTGCTTTCAGCTCAGATCATGATCCCAGGGTCCTGGGATTGAGCCCTGTGTCAGGCTCCCTGCTCAACAGGGAGTCTGCTTGTTCCCCTCCTTCTGCCCCACCACTCGTGCTTTCTCTCTCTCTCTTTCGCTCTCAAATAAATAAATAAAATCTTTAAAAGAAAAAAAAAAAAAGAGTGAGGATGAAGAAGTAAATGTATGAGGTTTGAGAAGACAGGAGAAGGCATGAGAGGGTCTTCTAGGAAAGTGGGAAAGAGAATGGACCAGAAAAATCCCATGTGGGTATCAGGCAGACTCAAGAGCTCATGTCAAATTTGTGATATGGACTTGACTTGCTGGTCAGCGAGGCTATGTTTTCCTCCAGTCATGTTCAGCTACACAAAGACAAAGACAGATTGGGGGAGACCTGGAGCCATCAGAGCTGGGTTTTCACCAAGTAAGTAGGACGATAGATGGGCAAGGGAGTAGGGGATTGCATAAAGGAGGGACTGTGATGATAACCCATGGAATTTATTTTGATAAGAAGGGAAGAGGGGAGTTTGAGGAAATGGGAGACAGTGAAGAAGTGTAGACTCAATGAAGTGAAGATCCCATAAGGATTGTAGAATCAGAGGATGAGGGGGATGCAGCAGAGAGACAGGAGGTAGTGGTCAGAGAATGGGACTTTAAATATAAGCTTTTGTGGTAAGCAGACTAGCACCCCCTTTCCCAGGATTTTACATCCCAATCTCCAGAACCTATGAATATGATACTTTATGTGGCAAAGGGGACTTTGCCCACAGGATTAAGTTAATGGCTCCTTCAAACGGGAGATTAGCCTAGTGTCCAGGTTAGCCCAATGTAATCATAAGGATTCTTTAAAAGTGGATTAGGGAGACATAAGAAAAAGAGAATCAGGGATGCCTGGGTGGCTCAGCTGGTTAAGCCGCTGTCTTCGGCTCAGGTCATGATCCCAGGATTCTGGGATCAGGTCCCACATTGGGCTCCTTGCTCGGCGGGGAGCCTGCTTCTCTCTCGGCCTCTGCCTGCTTGTATGTGCGCTCTCTCTCTCTGACGAATAAATAAAATCTTTAAAAAAAAAAAAAAGAATCAGAGAAAGAGATGTGACAAGAGAAGTTGGGTCAGAGAGATGCAATACTTGTTTTAAAGATGAAAGAAAGGAGCCATGAACCAAGGTGTGTGAGTGGACTCTGGAAGCTGTTAAAGGCAAATAGAAATTCTTCCCTAGAGTTTCCAGAATGAATACATCCCTGGTGACAGCTTGATTTTCACCCCAAAATACCTATGTTGGACTTTGGAACTACAGAATTATAAAATAGTAAATTTGTGTTGCCTTAAGCATCTTAGAAAGTTAATATACCTCTTA